GCTCTTTAATCGATTAGTCCAGCAGCTTCGATAACCGATCAGTTTTCTCTGTGGACCAAACAGACTGAAGGATTCACTGAATCCACAACTAGAAAAAGAATCTGCAAATGAATCAGTGATGAAATAATCGTTAGTTGATTGATCTCATTTTTATGGGATTTGTAACAATTACATCTATATATATATTGATCTACAGAAGCGATGAAGTGTCTTCATTTATTAGGTATTTAATTCTCTACATTTATCAGATTATTATTATTATTATTATAAATCTATGATCACATGACGGGTTACATGGGGCCTTATTTTTTATCGTCCGCTCCTGATTTTAAATGTTGTGACATGAAATCAATAAATCAAACCTTGAACCTGGAGGGGAGAACTCATCCATTCAGCTGTGAGGACGAAGTGAAATAACTGTGAAGAGAAAGGACGAGCAGAGCATCGATCAGACTGATCTCCATGAGGATTATATGAACTTCCGATCTGTTTCATGTTATTATTATTATTATTATTATCATTATTATTCTTCTTCTTATTATTATTATTATTATCATTATTCTTCTTCTTCTTATTATTATTATTATTATCATCATCGGTGCTGCAGAGACGCCCAGCTGAAATAAACCCAAACAGAGCTGCAGGTCGTTTTCTCAATACAATATTTATTTTTTTGTTTCCTTCCCGTGATGAATGAATATAATTTAAACTGCACTCAGTTGAGGAGAAACTGTAATTCAGTTCATGAAACACCTTCATGCTCTCAAATGTTGAATCCAAGGGCGTCACTTTGTGCTGAGAGACGTGTTCAGTGCTGAGTGGGGGAGGTTAAGTTTAAGGTGGAAATGTTTTTATTTACATAAACGGAAACACTAAATTCAGGCGGCAGGAGATAAATCTGAGGAGAAAGACATGAGAGAAAATGATGCAGCTCAAGTTACTGTTTTGAACAACGCACATCTGTTTCTGCCATATTTAAATTGCACGTTTTCTAACTGTGCAAATAAACTTTTCTCAAAACATTTTCATTTGTTTACAACTGCTTTAAAAAAAAGTGATGGAGACATGTCCCACTGACGGTCAGGGGCCCCTGTACATAAGCTTTCTCTAGGGGCCCCTCCCGGCATCCACGGCTCCGGTATCTCAGTCCGGATCAACAGATCATGATTTCAGGGCAGCAGATATACACCAGCTCCTGCTGCACTTTGTCTGTCAGTGAAATAAAAGCAGCTTCTGGATTTATTAAATGACCAAAGACGTTCCTAAATAATTCCTGAGGTTTACTCGGCTGCGCTTAAAGAAGTTCCAAACTGTTTTATTACACTCATCTTGTTTCTTTATCCTTCCCACTTTGGCCTTTTAGCACTTTCATCTGCATCACCATCTTATTTTGTTTGCACAGATATTAAATTTGTACTTGAATGTTATTTGCCAAAATGCAGAAGGTGTCGCTCGCTGCTGTAGCACCACCGTTACTACGACGACTCTGCTGCACCTTGACCAGGTGAATCTGCTCTCCATCAGCCCACCTGGTTAAAGAAAAGCAAAACAAACATTTAAGATAGAAGGAAACTCTGATTTTTTCCTTCATGTGAACGTTTTGAACTCGTCTCGATCTTCCGGGTAAAGATCCTCTGATGTAAACAGAGAAATAATAAACCTTTTGTTTCTTTTTTAAATGGCTCAAGATTTGATTTATCTGGTGATTGGTTTTAACTTCTTCCCTCCTCGTGGTTTTATTTTGCCTGTAACGTTAAGATTTAATGTTTCTTTCATGTTGAATTTTATGTCTTCTTCTTCTTCTTATTGTGTGTTTTTTAATGGTTCCTGAAACAGAGAATCTGAAACAGCGTGAGCTCCACCTGGTGGCCGGCTGCTGCAGCAGCATCAGTTTGATGAATATAATTTACCAAGGAAACACTGAGGAGGACGCATCTGCTTATATAAATAATATAACTCTCGTTTAAACCGATTTCTACATTTTATCGCTGTGTGCTTGAGAGGAAAAGGGTTTTTTTTCGCCCAGCTGTCTGCCTCCACGCTGCCAACGATCAAACGAACAAATAAACCTCAGAACAAATTTGGTGATTTGATCAAACTAAATATATATATCATTAAAAATATAACACAAAAGGAATTCAGTGTATAAAACAAAAAATCAACCTCTGGATGATTCACCTGCTCCCAGCTGTGCGGCTGAACATGCGAACTCTGTCCAGAGGGCGGCGCTACATGCGGTCAATAAGACAGTTTGGGGGTTTTGTTTCCAGGTTGGGTCTCATTTCAGTAATCGTGCGTTATTTCTATCAGCCAATAAAAACACGAGTTCACAGCTGAGGTCAGTTTCGTTTTAGCGCCGTCACCTGGTGAGAACAGCGTTGTTTTTTTCAACATCTGGTTAAGGTTAAAGAATATGAGCATGTGGTCAGGAGTTACTCATCGTACCTTTACTGTCCTCATAGAGCCTCCGTGGTCCAACTCAAATGTCCCAAAACAAAAATGGAATACATATCAGGGTAATGACACAAATGTGACATCGATCTCGATTATTGCGACAACGATATTCATTTTTGATGCTCCTGAACTTGTTTCTGACTCGTTTCCTCTTCGATCTCGGTTGTTCTTACTTTCTCTTTCACATTTTAATGATCGCGTTTCATTGGCCAGTTGCCTCGTCACAGATCTACGACACCAGCATAAGATATGGAGCGTACACGAAGCTTCGCTCAACGTAACGCTGTTTAGTCACTATATTGTGAACCACTAACAGGTGCATCTCAGAAAATTTGAATATTGTGGAAAAGTTCATTTTTTCCCCTGTAATTGAATTAAAAAGTGATATTTTCTAGATTCATTCCACATAAAGTGAAATATTTCAGCCCTTTTGTTGTTTTAATCTCGAAGATTACGGCTCAAAACTCCAGTATCTGTATAAATACAGAAATGTCGAGATTCTGAAAAGTTAAAAGTGCCAAAAAGGTAAATTTACCCACATTTCTCCTGGTTCCATGTTGGGTTATAGGACAGCTGCGTTTCTCGAAAGAAACCTGCACAACGTGTCCTGCGAACACCAGATCCAGGTTTCTGATCTTTTCCTGCAGTTTGATCTGCATCAGGTCTGCCCTGTGCTGCCTCCAGGAAACAGCCTCGCAATCTAAAGTCTCTCAGCTTCTCACATAACTGAAGCGTCATCAGCGTCTGAAACACTGAACTATCTATAGACAGATATAAACCAGGTTTTACGCGTGCTGGTGTGTGATCATGTAAAGAGGCAGATCAATAAGCAGGTTTCTCATGTTTTAAACGTTGCATCAGGATGAAAGTGAAAACAGGAACTCTGATGTGCAGGAAAACTTTTCCTCTGAAAGGTCACAGCAGACTGAAAAGAGAAACCACTTTCAGCCGGAGGACGAGGAGGAGGAGGAGGAGGAGGAGGTCACACTCACTCACAGTGACCGGTGTGTTTTGTCCAGGTCCTCTAATAACCTGCAGCCAAGGGCAGCACCTGAACACCACACACACTCTGCAATCATGAGTTATTGATTTGTGCAGAAAGCAGCAGCTGATCTGTGTTTTCAGCGTCCAGCTGCAGCAGCTTTAATCTGAGGGTCGAGGCTAACGCTAACAGCAGCTACAGGCCGCCTGCTCCCTCTGAGCTCAGCTCAAGTGGGGCGCTTGGTTTTTCTCTGTGTGCAGCCCGTACGGGTGGACGCTCTGCAGGACGCTCTGCAGGACGCTCTGCAGGACGTCTCTTATAGTGGACGTCGTGAAAGAAGAAGCTGGAGGGGGAAGTTTGAGAGGAGTTCAAGTGTCAGCAGTATTAATAATAATTATACAGACAAAAGTACAAGCATGTAGTACCAGTCTCAGTGGCAGTACTGTTAGTGCAGGATCAGCAGCGTGGTCATGTTTTCAGACCTTAATCTGTCAGGTCTCTGATTCACTTTCAGTCTGACTTCTTTCACGTCTCGTTTGACCAACAACAGATTCACCTGCTGAGGAACCACAGGGACCTGAAGGTTAACGTCACCTCAGCTGCTGATCAACGTTCTGTTGGTGGACAAGAAGTCAACTCACCGTCCTGCAGTACAAAGTACAATTACCTGGATATTAAAGTATAAAGTGTAGCAACGATAAAGAAATACAACACGTAACGCGTCACAATGCTGCACTGATTTATTAAACATCTTCTACAAAAACACACCATAGAAAATTAGTTCACTTTGTCACAACTTTACAGATACTCAGAGACGCAGAGACGCCGTCCACACCGAGAGACAAAAAGCATCAGAGTTCATGCTTCAGTCTGAGTGTGGAGCAGATTTATGTAGAAGCAGCTCCACCTGCTGGACCGCCTCCGTCAGCACAGCGTCTCCCTGTGAAGCTTCATTAGAATCTAGATAACAGGATGTTTCTGTCTGGAAAACATTAAGACACACATCATGTGACACGCAGGGGAACTCTGATTGGTCGAGTTGGGGGGTAAATATCAGCGTGTGGTTCTGAGCAGAGCTGGTCTCACATGTACGCGAAACCTGCAACACTCAGTTACAGAGGTCTGCAGGTGGAACCAGACAGAACCGGTTTGTTCAGGTGTGATGATGTCACGGGTTTCCAGTCTGCAGCAGCCGTTAGAAACTGTGGAGGTGAAGTGAGACGAATCAAACTGAAACTAGGGAGGCACCGAATGTTCAGCCGCAAAAGTTATCAACCAGAAATATCTCTTTGTGCGTTCGGCCTGATGAGTCAAAAGAGCGAATAGATTCGACCAAACAGTCCCGTTGCCATGTTGGCAACCGTTTGCAGACGCCTGAATTGTCTCCAGCACGTCTGAGTGTTTCTGTCACTCGTCTGTGAGAAGGAGATTAAGCTTGCTGCGCCTACATTAAGAGTGCACACATATTCAAGCCTTTACGGTCAGTGAATAGTGTCTCCACACCCTGTGAGGGAAAAGCTCATTTTGACTATTTCATTTATGCAGTGGAAATTTTTTTTTAAATAAATGGAAAAAATGTGAAAGTACATGTTCAGGAAAGTTTTTCATCATATTTGGTTTCGGCTTTCACTTCGGTGCGTCCCGAGCTGAAACAGGTCTGTTAGTCTTCCTTCAAAAAGTCAAGCTGAAACTAACTCAAACTAATGTAAATCAGTTCAAACTCATTTATATCATGAAGTACGACAGATTAAATATTCAATTTCCTCCCACAGCTGGCATCAGTCGCTTTAAAGAGGTCACACTCTGCTTCTGCTCTCTGCTTTATTGGGTTATAGATCTTCTTTTATGCATGTAACAGGTTTGCAAAGTGAAAAAGTTCCCATCTCCCACAGAAAACTCTGCTCCTGAACTGAACACAGCCTTTCCTTCTCTAACCTGCGCAGCACGACGCTCGCCTAACGACTACCTTACTGCTGGTCAGGACCCGCCCTACTCTGCTTCTGATTGGCTAGTCGTCCTCACCGGAGGTACTGCACATGTGCAGCTCCAAACAAAGATCTACTAGAAGTGAGAGGCTTCGCGTTCAACACAGAAAAGAGGAGCTGCAGCCACGTGCAGGATGACAGCGACACCATGTAAACCTGTTCTGGTACGAGCTAAATAAATAAAGTGAGGAACATGAGGATCAGCAGAATGTGACGTCTTTATGAAGCTGCAGCCGCCCAGGAAGTGTCCACCACCCTGCAGCCACAGAGGTTTTAAAAAAGTAATAATATGTAAATATATATATATTTCTAAATGTGCTTAAATCTGATAATACGCGTGTTGTTTTCTTGTTGACTGTTCGTCTATAATTCTTGCAGAAAAGAATTATGAAGATTTTTCAAAATAAAAGCCTGAAGCATGATCTGCTACTGAAAACAAACCGAGCCTGCGAACAGGCGGTCATCAGTTCGTCTTCGTCCACGGAGACTCAGCTTCCTCGCCCCCGCTCTTCCTCACCACTCCTTCTTCTTCTCGTCCATGGAGACCCCCCCGGGCCCCAGGGCCACCACCAGCAGCAGGCCTCCGATCACCGACGTGGTCTGGAAGAAGTCGTACTTGAGGAAGTCGTGCATGGGTTTGTACGACGGGATGCTCCAGAAGGCGTTGAAGGTGAAGTTGATGCAGAGCAGCCAGGCGACCAGAGTCAGAGCCGCCAGCTTCGTCTTGAAGCCCACCGCCACCAGCACGATGAGGGCCGTCCCCACCAGGTTCTGCAGGACCTGAGCACACAAGGTCGGCGGGGCACAGTGTTTCACAGTGGTTCATACCTGAGAGGACAGCTTCCTTTTGGTGCGTTCAAGGAGGCTCTGAATTTTCAGACTCTGCTGCTGAACAACAGATTCATCACACCAACACTGTGATGCTTCTCAGAGGTCAGCAGTCAGCTGTCAGAGTGTCCTTGAACGCACCACCAGGGCTGTGTGAGGCCGACAGACAGGAGGACAGAACTTCTTTACCTTTAAACTAATGACATGATATGACCTGAAATAATGTTAAAACTGAGGATAATAATAATACATTATAATTTAATAACACTTCAAGGTTACACACAAACAATTAAAAATAAAATAAGATTCGGCCTCACACAGCAGTTTTATCAATAATCAGTGTAAATAAAATAAAAAGTCTGTATAGAAAACATCAACAAGTCAACGTGCAGATAAAACTAATAATTAAATGGGCACCACACAGGAAAAGAAATGCGTCTTAATGTGTCTCTTATCTGCGCTGGCGGCAGATCTGGGGCCATCGATCAACCTCCAGCTACCAAACCGAGCCTTCAGCCGGAGTATTTCAGACAGACGCTCCACAGCGAGAGCTTCACATCCTGTTTACTGTGTCTCCACACGAGCACGGCGCGTTATCAGCACGAGGACTCGTAGTCCGTTAAAATGTATATTTATACATTAGTGGTCTAACGGTAAACAAAAATCCTGGTTCGCTTTATTTTCGGTACAGTTAGGAAAAAATGCAAACATTAAATTGCTGCTGGTTTATTATGAACTTCTGTAAACATCCAAATTACACATAAGAAATAAATTATCTGCTGCAAGCTTCAAACAAGTTCTCCACTAAATAAAATAAACAACGACAGACACAGCTGATAAAATATAATAAATATATAATAATATGGATAACAGTGCAGCGTTCTTCTTCTTCTGTTCCGTCTATGAGCAGGATCCCGGCCTGCTTTAAAAAGTTAAAAACTTTCCTGCAGTCTGAAGTCGGGTTAAAAGCTGAAAGGCGTTCTCCTCTGTGTGACACCATTTGAAACGTCGCTGTTGTATTTCACTGGAAGTGTTCGCAAACAGAAGACCTGAACAATAAGGGCGGGTCCTAAAGCTCGGGCTTCCCTGCACTGGCCGTGACGCTTCAGTCACTAGTTAGCGAGAGGCGGGGCTAAAGCGCGCTGCTGGTGTAGCGCCGCATGGCGGAGATTTGGTCCGCCGCTTCATATGTCCGTGTGGAAACTCGGAATTTACGAGTTATTGTTGTTACTGCAACGCATCAGTAGGTGGAAACTGGATTCATCTTGATTCTGATGTGCTTCATCAGGACGAGCGAATAAAATACTGATTTATTGATTAGACACGTTTTTGATATTTATTTTGGATAAATTGGTGTGTTCATGGAGTAACGGGCAACTTTGTTTTCCTTCAGAATACAGAAAATAATCGTTATGCGCAGCCCTAGCTGGCAGATTGTTCTGTGGGGGCCCCGACAGCAGGGGCCCGTCTCCTTCGGCTGCTGGAAAACAATGTGCTCTGTAAGGAGGTCATGACGGCTGTCGGTCGTCACAGCATGCTAACACGCTAACTACACACCGGTGCTCCCGGACCGAGCGCCTTTAGGTTTCCGCCCCGATCTTAAACTAGATCATGAAAACAGAACGAAGCTGCCGATTCATCGTCCGGGGTTCGTTCCAGTTTCTCTGCAGACAGAACATGTCGGTTTGCTCACAGATAATCTGCCCCGTAGTTTCAGGTGTGAGACTCACGCTGAAGAGGCTGAGGTCGAAGTGCAGCAGCGTCATGAACATGAGGACCAGGAGGACTCGGCCTCCGAGCTGCAGGAGGTTCTTCGGGGAACTCTGATGGCCGAGAGAAGGAACTCCTGCGAACACGGTGCGCGCCTCCCCCCGACCCTCCGCCAGGAGCAGCAGGAGACCCCCGCTCAGAGCCAGGTTCCTGCAGGAGGATCAGAACCAAACTACTATTTAAAAGTGTGAAGTTTAAAGTGCAGATTCAGACGACAACCAGGCTCTCCAGACTCCAGAGTCCTGTTCCAGATCATTTGTTAGATTATTATTCAGCCCCACACAAATTTAACAAATCCCAATGACTCCAGCAGAACTTGAACAAGTCCTGGAGGGACTGTTCAATGATTCAACGACCATTATAAACAGAGCTGCACGATGTGCAGAAAAAGTCGCATTAAGATTTGACTTTAATGCAACAAATGCTGCTCAGAGTCAACTCGCTTAATTATCAAGGAATGAACAAAGTCCTGACATTTTGAAATGTGTATTTCTAAAGTTGAACAAAGTTAAACAATATTCAAGAATAACTTCAGTGAAACAGAACGAGGGCGGCGTGTTGCTCTGCAGAGGAGGCGGCTAGAAGCAGCAAATATCATCTGTCCACAGCCGGGAGGAGCAACTGCACACGATAATATAATATAATTATATATTAAATACTACATTCATTACAGGGTCATATAATAGTTTTTTACCACTAGTCGGATATTAAATCCAGCTGTTTCATTTCTGTGGGTTGGTTTTATTTATTTAATCCTTGGGGTACGGTAGGTTGTTGTCTTCTTCATTATTCTCATTGTACGTAGGCTCATCTGTTGCAGAGCCCGGTGTGGGCGGGGCTTATGAGCACACACACAAGTGTGTTTTATTAAAATCGCACACTTGCGTCGTGATGTAATGATGACATCACAATTAGATTAATCGTGCGGCCCTAATTATAAAGTAAAAAGATATCAAATCTACCTTTGAAGTTTTCACTTATTCCCACAATGATGATGCAAAAAACAAAAACGCCCAAGAACAAAACAAGTTTTTAGAAAAGCTGCAGCAACAATCAGTAAAGAGGCCCTCGAGATCCTGGAGGGCCCGAGTGTTAAACACAGACTGATCACAGGTCAAAGGTCACAGACTCACCTCATGAGGAACTTGAGGTCCCACAGGATGCTGTAGGCCACCGTCTGCAGAGCAGGAGGCAAGAGGCATCAGTACACAGAGTACACAGAGTACACACAGAGTACACAGAGTACACACAGTACACACACACAGTACACACACACAGTACACACAGTACACACACACAGTACACACACACACAGTACACACACACAGTGCACACACACAGTGCACACACACAGTACACACACAGTGCACACAGAGTACACGGCGGCTGTGGCTCAGGAGGTAGAGCGGGTTGGCCGTTAATCGGAAGGTCGGCGGTTCGATCCCTGGCTCCCCCTGGTTGCGTGTCAAAGTGTCCTTGGGCAAGATACTGAATCTCGAATTCCACCAGTGTATGAGTGAGTGAATGTTAGTTTCCGTTTGAGCACTCAGGCTCAGTGTATGAATGTGTGTGACTGGTGAATGCAGATGTAGTTTAAAAGCGCTTTGAGTGGTCGCAAAGACTAGAAAGGCGCTATACAAGTACGGAGCATTTACACACACAGTACACACAGTACTCCAGACAGTACAGAAGAAAGAAACACAGTACGTGACTGCGCTCTCCAACTTTCGGGCTGTACATTTATTAAAACGACAGCGCAGGCTTTATGGCGCCAACACGACTCTTCAGCGAGCAACAGGTGCTGGTCATATAATTAGAATATCCTCAAAAAGTTGATTTATTTCAGTAATTCCATTCAAAAAGTGAAACTTGTATAATGTATACATACATTCCACACAGACTGATATATTTCAAGTGTTCATTCCTTTTAATTTTGATGATTATAACTGACAACTAATGAAAACCCCAAAATCAGTATCTC